GCCTCGTGACCCCCTGCCACCGCCAGCGCCTGGCGCTGACTGGTGGCACGAGCTAGAGTGGGATTGCTCTCCCCAGGCTAAGGCTGGCCAGCGGCTCCCCGAGAAGCGCAGACAGTTTGCCTTTGCTCAGACCGCTCGTCTGGGGGATGAGCACCCTCTTCTTCGTCTCCCTCGCCTCCTGCCCAAAACGCAGCTGCTCCGAGGAGCAGGCGCGTCGTCCCGGGATGCCCACGGTCTGGGCAGTGTGCTCTCAAAGCTCCCAAACCCCAAGGGAACTACGCTCTCGGATCAGATGCTCCGTCCGTCCCTTGCTGCCTAGCTGCCCCGAAACGTGCTGTCTCTTTTCACAGGGCAGTAAAAATACCAAGCGGCCTGACCTGCTGCAGCAGTGCCCATGACACTGCACGCGGACACAGGGACAGGGGAGAGCAGGAGGAGGAAGGATGGGGGATGCTCGGTTCTCACAGGCATTGGGAAGGAAAGGTGGAGAGATAGCCTGAAGAGAAGACGATAACCGCAGCTAGAGTGGTGGCTCTTACAGTAGCGTGAGTGTTGTTTCTTTAAATTTTCAGTGAGCTGTCTGGTTGGCAGGCACTAAGGAGATAGAGTGCAACTGGGGCAGGCAAAACACGGTAGGGAATAATACCATTCTCCTTACTTTTAGCCAAAATCCTTATCCACTGTTAGACAAAATCAAGTATTTCTGCAGTTCTTTACCATTTTCACATCTTGGTGCCACATGTTTTACAACAAGGATAAGCCAAAAGGGCCTGAATCACTGCAGCTGCACATGAAACAGAGAGATGTTAGCCTAAGCAAAGATGGAACAGAAACTTAAAGATTCAGTCCCATGATTTTCCACCTTTTCCTCAGACATGCACACACACACACAGAAGATGCACGCACTGAAACTGCTGACCTACTTGTTCGACGTCATTCTGATGCAGGTCTGACTTCTCACCTGGCACTACTGGGAGTTGAAACCCTGAGATGTCACATACGGCAAGGCTTTATTTTTCTCAGCACTGTTCACAAATCAGACGAGGTGCTGCTAGATCTCACTGAAATATAGGCGGAAGCATACTCTCAACAGAACTGTGCCATTTATTAAGCCATGCAAAGCCTCCTGCACATTGCACTGTATATGGGTTTGCGTTGAACAGGGTCAGACACCTCAGGCTAAGCACCTTAGAGGTCTTAATTTTGAATATGTTGCTTGTCCTATTTTCTCACCAGTTTCAGTAGAAGTCTTAGGAAAGGGGGAATGTAGGATTATGCAGGAACAAGTAGATGATTTCCTAAAATGTGCATAGTGTAGTTAAGAGTTAATGCACTGAAAGCCTGTCCCTTCAGATGCCTGATGCTGAGACAATGTTTACTACATTACTACACGCTTGGAACGTGAAAACTGAGAATAATTTGATCCCTTGACAGTCATATAGGAGTTCAGACGCTCACAGTGGATTTTCCTCTAATGTACTCACTGTCTTTGAGAACACCTTCGGTTGGCAGTGATTCAGAAAATAATTAGGTAAGCAGAAAAGATGGCCATAGTCGACCTTCTGAACTTCCTTAGAGCTCAGTGCTGTCTATCACCAGTGTCCAGCATCACTACATTGTAGAATGGGTCAGGAAAGGAAAGCACATTCAAATGTGAACTTCCCTAAATTTGGGAGATACAGATGCTAGTGAAATATTAGATAAAATTAGGACTAGAATACTGTGGGCAGTATTGGGCAGTACTGGGGTGGCTGCACCTCAGCTGTTTTAGGAAGGGAAACAAGAGTGATACGTCAGCAGAGCTTTTAGGAGGGCTAGTGCAGTAGGGCAGTAGTTAAGGAACTGGGTAAGGCTTAGGACATCAAAAACAAAACAAAACCAACCAACCAAACAAACAAACAAAACAACCCAACAACTGGGTCAGGTCAATCTTTTGCAGACATCCTCCATAACCTTGGACAAATTTCTTGCACTGTCTTGATATCTCAACTCCTTGGCTAAAGGACAATGATGACGATGCTTCTGTTGTTCAGACGAATTCATAGAAAGATATTGCAAAGTGCTCTGAAGGTGTCTGTATACCACAGAAAGGGAGCACTAACAAAGACTGTTCAAATACAAATATCTACTATTTATAGCAAAACGAGAGGGAAACAGGAAAAACAAATTCTATCAAGCTTAGTCCAAGTGGTTCATTCTAAATGTAAGCTTTTGTTTCACCGGATTTTTTTGGAACACTGTTTATCCTTTCCCTTCCAATTCTTTTGTATCTAAAACTGTGAAATTCAACTCAGACTTGAAAACAGCTTGGGTATGCAAAACCCTGCATTTTTCAGCCACTCAGTTATCTCCCAAACCCAAACAGCCTTTAGAGAGGGACAGGAGTAGTGGAAGCTGGAACAGCCTCCTTCTGAGGCAGAGACTCGCGTGAGACTCTCAGCGTAGCTATTCCTACAGCTCAGACCTAAAGCTCTTCAGTGGCTTGACCCAGCTTCAGATGTATTTGGCACTGTGAAGAACCACCAAAACATTGCTGGAGTGGACAGAGCTTTTGCAAGTGGATCTCGGTAGACTGTAGAAACCCAGCTGTTCTGCCACATTTGAGGAAGTTTGGAAATTAAATAACTTGCCCAAAGGGTAACACAGATTCTGTTTGGATATGAACCCAAAATTACCAAGGAGGAAGGCTGGCGCACTTTTGCTTGCAGGTGCTAGGTACTTGGATACAAACAAGACGTGAAGCCATCTGCTAGTATGTCTCTTGTAACATGCACTTCACTACAACATGCAAACTGCCTTCGCTCCTAAGAGCTGCCTTATATAGAGTCTGAATTTGTCACAGCTCATAAGACAAAAATATGCTTAATTATGATCAGTGCAATTATGGAGAAAGCTGCCGCTGCTGATCAGTTCCAGGACAAATAATGTAAGATGAACATACTACAGTATTCCTGCAGGAAATATCTTTAAAAACAAGACAAACCAAGTTAAGTCCAAAAAACACAGTAACCCTTTCTGTTCACTGCTTCATTACGTGGCTGCAAACCCTGGCACAATTTTATTGCACTGTAGACACCAAAATCCATGAGGAGGTTTATGGACAGTTGGTTATCTGCTGGTAAATAAATTTGGGTTCTATTCCCAGTCCTAACGTTCACTTCTTGTATAACCTTCGGAAACTATTGGTACCCTCAGTGCCACCCACCCTAGCCTTTCCCACAAGAAAAATACCACTGTCATTTAAGAGGAGAACAAAGCAGCATCCCCTTTAAAAACATGGCTACTGAGATACAGACTCACATCTAAAAATAAAATAAAATCGTTGAGGCTCCAGTCTGTCTTTCCATCTTTTCCTCTGGAACATGCCTCTCCTCCTTCCCCAAATCACCTGGCTGAGAGTCTTTTTTGGGTAACTGTGCCCTCAAGCAATCTGTGTAAAAGCAGAGAGAGATGATGAGACCAGGCAGGCAAAAGCAGGCAAGCATTTGGCTGCATCCTCCACACCACTAAGGGGCACGGAAAAGAAGATTATACTCCTTCCTCGGGGCTGTGACACTGCACAAACACCCAACCTCAATGCTGGGCATCCCCCTTCTTGCATCCAGTGCAAATGGGGTACATCACAGACTGTGTGGGAGCCTCTCCGCTGCATTTCCCTTGCACCACCAAGGCAATACCAAAGACTGCCTTGGAGTGTTACACTGGATCCCTGAAAAAAGCTGCA